AATAAAATTTGAAGACGCTACGCATTGCAAAACGATAACACGGAATTCCCGATGTGTGTTGACGGATGCATTATCGAGGCAGCTGATTAATTGCAATTATTGGTCAAGGTGTTCATTGTAAGGTAATACAACATTATTCCTGGACAAACTACAAAATTACGCGAAAACTTCAATCTCAGTATGAGCACACCATCAAAAAGCTAATTTGTAACCTTTACGTAAAGTACAAGTTTACCGGAGAGTAAAACTCGAGATCCAATGCACTAGATCAGCGACTTAACCAATATTAAGAAATAATTTAATGAAAAAACATTCAGGGTCAGGGGTTTTGTGTAATTGACATGATTGAAGAGACACATGTGACAACTAAAGATCACAATTACATTATTTTTATCTACGGCATTATGTTAAGTCTTCGAACCCATGCACTTCAAGCCATCCATTTCCCGGCACCATATACAACAAACATGCTCCAGTGTATTAAAAAAACTATATCATGACTAAAGTTATTTGCTTCACCACACACGATATGAGTTGGAAACTTTCGAAAGGTTTGAACACTAAGAGCCCATCATATCGACGCAGGCTATACGTAGTATCGCAATGAAACACCAAGACGAATCGACTCAGATCAGACGTCCACTATTCGCATGCCTTCTAGCGCGCTACCAGGCGCCCGACATCAGGACGACACTGCCGACATGGGAGAAAGTCATTTCGCATTACCTAAGGTTCCAGTCCTCCTTCAACTACCTGCAACAAAGAGACACTTGAAATATGGCCTACATAGCATCAACCTAGAATTGAAATACAAAAAATGAGTTTTCAAACTGTTTATTATGTCTCCAAATTATTTCAACGAACTCGAGTTGTCAAATTGACAACTAAGAGATCTCAACTAAGGAGAAGGGTGAAAGACGCTTGCATGACATGGTTAGTATCTCACTGGAGCAACCCTTTCTAAGTTTTTGTCTTTGAATGGCCCCTGGCAGATTAAACTAAAGATTGTGAGAAAATGTTTGAGCAAACTGCTAACCTCCGGAAGCTGAATAATATAGCGACGACATTGCGATTAAAAAAAATCAGAAATATGTCTCTTCAAGTATAATGCATATCATCTTTGGAAGTCTGTAACTGACATAGTTCGCAGCAAAAGCTTTGAGTCTTTTGAAAAAAATTCCGTGGAAACTTCATCATGGAGGACAGTGATTAATTAGGGGGAAGGATTTTAATGATGCTATTTTTTCACAGATGTATGACTTGTAGCATTAGAAATTCATTTTATGTTATGACAAAAGAAATTACCTATTTATTATTGACATTTTGGAAATTTTGACGATTTCTACTAATCAGTCATCAGTTTCTTTTTTGTCAGTGTTTATATCATTTTTCGATGATTTTGTATTTTTTTTGTACCATTTTAAATGATCAAATCATTCTTCAATAATATTTACGAGTAGCCAGATATATTATTCAAGGCATTCTGAGGAGCCTATTTGGATCTTCGCTCAGAAATTGTATGTCAGCTGTTGTTCTGTTACCATATCAGGACATTGTCGGTTCGCGATTTCGCGGATAACTAAGTCAGAGATTTCCTGGTCCAACGAAGGTTATGGAATCTGAGTTCGCATAAACGCAAAGAAGAAGCCTGATTACATCAATAACGTATCCAACATTGAGTGTTTCATTCCCAAACTGGTTTGGTCGAATTTTTATATCATTTTTCTTGCTTTGAGCCCGCATTTTAAGAGCATTTTAAAATCATTTTGGGAGGTGGTTTTTTGGCGAATTCCAAAGTAGTGCCCCTAGTGGGCAGTGCGGCGGAGGAGCGCGTGGGCCGAGGGGCCAAAATGCATTTCCCTTCTTGACGGGCACGCGCGCGCCGCCTCGGATGGACAAGTGCCGGGCGCGCCTGCGCCCGCGCCCGCGCCCGCGCCCGCGCCGGCGGCGGCAGAGCGCAACCGCGCGTGACGTCACTCAAAGTCCGGCGGCGCTCCAATTTTCCCAACCTTCTTACGTGCGTGTGACGTCACGCGCACCTGCCGAGTTCATTGCCCTCGCGGCCCACAGCGGTCGCTTCCCGCCGCCCCACGCTCCCTCCACGCTCACTTCCCACTCTCTCTCTCCCCTCTCGCCCACTCCCCACTCACTCCACTCTCTCTCTCTCTCTCTCTCTCTCTCTCTCTCTCTCTCTCTCTCCCGACTCGCACTCCCCGCGCCTTCCTTGCTCTTCCACAACTCACTTCCGGCTTGCTCTACGCACACTTCCCACTCTAACTCCGCCGTGCCCTGTCTGCTCTACACTCACCCTCACCTCCGTACTGACTCTACGCTCGTTCTCCGCATTGATTACACTCTTCGTCCACTCATTCCCCTCACACTCTCTCCCCACTCACTCTCCGTCCGCTCTACACCCTCTTCTTGTTGACTCAAGGCTCATTCTCCGCACGCATTACACTCACTACCCACTCGCTTCACACTCCTCCTCCACTCTCACCCGCTCACTCCTCACCTTACAACACATCCTCTCCTTACTGAGCCCACACCCATTTTTACCTCTCTGCCCACGCAGTACCGTTCCCCTGAGCAACATTTGCAAGTTTCGAAAATTCAAACTAATCAACAAAAATGAAACATGCGTGACTATGTTATATTATGACATGAATGACATAATTATTTGCGTTTTTTGTTCAATCTGAAAAACAATTAAACAAAAAAATTGGAGCAATTGTTGGGAAAAGTTTGAAATTGTTGAGGATTCATGTAAAGTACACCCCGTAATCAAAATAGACGTTTCAGATGCAAGAGACCACGACTCAGATAAATCGATTGGGGAATGTCAATTTTGGTGAAAAACCTGTCTAAGATTTCTCCACCAGCGTTGTTCACAAACGGACAGACAGACAAACGAGCAGACGGACAAACAGACGAATAAGCAGTCAGACAGACTGATAGGCGGGCAGACACGAACAGTAGGCGGACAGAGAGACGAACAAACAGACAGACATTCGGACAGACATTGGGACAGATTGACTGAGGGATTGACAGGAGAGATTCGCAACATTTTGCCGTCAACCAAATTGTTTGATATCAAGGACCACAATATGTGGGTTCTGTCTACACAACGTGTCAGAGGAAATAATTAACTACGAACTGGAACAAGATTTATGCACTTCTTCAGTATGAGGACCCCACAATAACAGTTTTTTTGTCGAAAACTCACCGTTTTTACCTCAGCATTACAATACTTCCTCTACACTATGTAACTTGTATGCGAGAAAAGGGAGGCGAAACGTTTCTTCAACGAAGAGTGTATATAGTGTCATGGGCATAAATATTCGTAGAGTGATGCCACTTAAATGTGCGAAATACCACAAAATGCAGTAAGCGAAAATTACTCAAATTCATATTGTAATTACACAGTTCATTTTTGCTCTCAGAAGTAGTTCTCTAAATTCAACATTAGGCTCAGAGGCAATTGAAGATTTACTTTGAGATACTTTGTCCCTACGGAGTAGAAAGAAAGTTATGTAATGCTGTGCGAAAAAAAGACGAATTTCCGGCAATTCTTATTCCAGGGCTCTGATAACGAAAGGTGGATAAATCCAGTTGCTAAAATTAAAAAAAATCCTCTAAGACGTGGTGTAGCCAGAATCCATGTTTTGTGGGTTTTTGATACCAAAAAATCGTATGATGGCAAAACGTCTGTCCGTCTGTAAACAACGCTTGCGACTAAACTGTTCATCGGATTATTCTCCAAAATCGATATCCGGCAATCAATCTGACTGATGTCGCGGTCTTTTGAATTTGAAAGCAATATTTTAATTTTGCAAGGTACTTTACATGAAGTATCTGGGACATATAAAATAATAAAAGAATAGGAAGTAGCACTCTGGGATTATCAAAGCAAAGGTCTCAAATTAAAGCATTGAACAGAATGCCGAAAGAAGCGTCTAAATTCGCGAAGAAAAGCAAGGTGACGGTCAATTGGGAATCATTTATTATATACAGAAGGCATCACGACTGAATGAGTACACAAGGCGTTAAGGCGTTCACACAAAGCAATCGGCATGGACACCTTCCAGAGAAACACTTCAAATGGCGTGTTACTTAATGGCAGTGATCACTCACACAAACTAAAAAGAGGAAAACAAAACAAAAAATGGATAAAGGAGGCCGTAGAGCTTTGGAAAGAGGACCATTGTTGACTGGAACAATTTACCTGTAGATGCGATTCCTTCCAGGAGCACGCTATTTAGTGTCACTGCACATCATATTGCAAAGTGTCACTGCACTTACCTGCACATCATTGCACTTTACACTTCTTCACTGTAAAGTGCAATGATGTGCAGGTAAGTGCAGTGACACTTTTCAGGATATGGAAAGACCAACTCAAGCCTGTGTTAAATACACATACCGTTAATGTAGCAATTATTGGGAAGTGAAGTGTACAATGTAGCAATTATTAGGAAGTGAAGTGAACTAGTGGGAGAAGAGTATAATAGCTCACGTTTTACTCTCTTTAATTTTTGTTTGTGTTGTTATATTTTTGTTTGTATTACTATGTGTTTGTAGTTATTTGTAGTTATTGCTTGCTTAACTGCCAATAGTCATTGAACATACATTCCTTTGCCCGACTAAATTGTTGTTGTTGTTGTTGTTGTTGTTGTTCTTCTTCTTCTTCTTCTTATTATTATTATTATTATTATTATTATTATTATTATTGTATCACAAATGTTTGCAATAACTTTAGTTAGTGCAGACTCTTGGACTGTGGTTAAAAAATCAGGGCTATTCACTGAAAACTGAATATTATGAAATTGTTGTACTGAAAGTCATATTAATGTGACTGCCTGGACTGTCCAGAACATGCATCTTACCGAATTTTGCCGCCCCACAGCTCAGTATCGTCTCAGTGTACTGTCAAAGAACATCAAACTATGAGCAGGAGGCGAACTCACCCAGGTGTCACTAAATCTGAACCAATCATGAGTGTCCAGGGTTCGACTTTGAACTGTATCTGCACCGGATTCCTTCGTTCGGTGAAGACTCAAGGTGCGGAGGTGCGGCGCATTCACCTGCAAGAGGAGCGTGGACAGCACTGACCAGCAAATCCCTCGGCAACCAGAGAAAACCACCTCGACAAACCGAGGGAAATACAATTCAACAAGGTACTATATACATTTCTGATAATTTTCATAATGGTGAAAAGATAGTGTAATCAGCCGCGTGAAGTTGAAGGGATTGTGGCATTCTTGGATGTGTAAGTAAAGTAATATTATAAGTGTTTCGCTTTTACTGAAACTATAAAACGAGTCGCTTCTCTCAAGCGGCAATTGTGCTTCTCATTAGAGCATTATCATTTCTCAATTGGATCAGCCACGGGGCTATAAATAACGACTTAAACTCATTGGTTTTATAAATTTCTCAATACATGGGCATAGTATTATCACTGAAAATCATTTGACGTCCATCATGAGTTGCTTTTGTGACGCAACCTAACAACTGTGTGCGTAAAGATAGATCCCGGCCAAAAGCTCATGACTTAATTCGGGTACAAACGCAATAAATCGTTTTGAAATAGAGCTGCCCCTTACCGCCGGCCTAAAAACGATAGCTGAACGTATTCCTTTTCCTTATCACAAAAATCTCACCGTCAACACAGCGTACAAACCTTCGAACAAACAAATAATTCCGTGGCCCACATCGAATTAATTTTTAACGTTACTTCTATGTGATAGGTGACCTGAATGTTATGTGTCTTGTTAACCATGTGTCTTTTTTGGATGCCATGTCACTAATTTTGCAGGTTCGGTTCCTCCAAATATTATAAACTAGTTACATATGAAAATACAGTCTCCCACTACACCTACTTACTACCCCGATGATAATAATATTATTCCAGTTACTTTAGATATCGCTATCTCAAACTTCTTATTATCGTTAACCTCATATGCCTTTTACGCACTGGATTCCGACTACAATCTAATTATCGTCTTAAGTTCTAGTTCCGCTCCTATTTTACAATATTCTCAGTCTCCTCCAAACACAGAGGTACCTATCAATCCAAACTGGCAAAGATGTACTTCCCCTTCCTATTCCAGGACTTTCCAATCCACATATGAAATTGACCACGCAGCACTAAACGCGAGACCCAAAGGCCGATAGTCTTTGAAAAAATCCAACATGCATATTAAAACTACTTCACCGTCTCGAAAACCACCCAAATCCTTTAGCCATTACCCTGTTGAATACTAATAAAGAAACTAACCGATTACCCAGACTTCCACACCTACAACTCCATTATGGATTTTCAGGTGAAATGTACTAAAAAAAATACTTTCTGAAATACTTTCACCCACAATAATTTGTCAACTGTTAATTTTATAAAATTTACTAATTATTCAAATATGAAATATATTGTAAATTTACTTTGTTCAGGATAAAGTAATAAAAAAAATTGCAAGGGGAGACCCCCCAGGCCAGCGTCCCCTCAAGAGATTCCTCAGAAGGGAAGGAAATTTGTGGAAAATGATCTGCTGTGCTGTGGAGGTAACGATAAAAATGTTCTTTCGCATAATCAATTACAGAAAAAGTGTTTACTAGTCGTGTACACATTTAATTGATTTTCTCGTATTTGCAATATTTTGTATTCATAAAACCTATTTCATTATTTGGAACAGAAGTGTAAAAATTTGGGTGAATATATTCTGACTTGGGTGAATGAATTCGACTACTGTATATAATATGACTCATTTCGACCGACGAAAAAAAAAACAGAACCGTCTTCTGCTCTATTAGACGAACAAAAGTTTATGTCACTTCTGCTGAGAACCGCTTCATTACTGCAAAGCATTTTCTTGACGATTGCTCTTTGTGAAGTCCAGAAGGTTGTGCTTAGAGTGGGTTGCAGTACTATAAATGTTTCTTAATATTGTTGAGGAAATTTTCTGTTTTCCAGACAAACGAAAAACGAAAATCTGTGAATTGACGGATTTGTGGTGCACAGGCGACAATCATGTATCGAGTGAAACCTTGCCATCAAGTTTGATTTTAGGCTCTCAGAGCTTCAGCCTGCCAGCCGACCATCAGAATTGCAGAGAACTTGCTATTCACAAATTACGCCAATGACCTCCCGAGTTTTCAACAGCCCCTCGAGTCTTCGAAATAGGGACTAAGTTTCAGTGATATGAAAGTTGCAGCAAAATTGACAAATCAAAAAAACACTTTCTCCAGCAATTAATGCTTCTGAGGTCAAAACGGTAAAGGAATTTTGCCAATATTACGAGGAAGACACAGGTGTTTTTACCTCGTGAAATGACTAACTGTATGTATGTTATTCATCACAAATGACAAACATTTGATCTCTAAAATCCATTTTTATAAACTGCCTCTATCTTCCCCTTCTCAAAACTGTGCCCCCCACAATCCCTCGCTTACGTCTCCGAAAGTGTTGATTTGAAAGTCCTTTCACTGCATGCCATCTTTTCACTATTTCTCCTCACACCCCATTGACAGCACCAGGTCTCACCTGCCCTATTCTTCTTTGCATTAAGACAATCTTTACGCAGACAATATTGCTATGGCTGGCATAAGATGTATCCCCACAACAATAAATTAACGCCAAGAATCCAACAATAGTAAAATGGCCAAAGTGATCCAACTTGCTTGACACAACCAACAAAAAATATGCAGTAGTAATATTTAACAAACAACGGATTTACCAGCCAACCACCGCTAATTATTAAGAGCTTTCCCATAAATTGGACAGATGCCTCAAAGCACTCCATGGGATACTTCTTTGGACGAAACAGGTAGACATTCCCTTATAGAAAGGTAAATACATGAATGAAAACAAAACTATATATGTTGTAACATATCACAAACATTCTCGTACTAATTGTGAAGGTTAAGTAAAATTAATAATTATTGAACCTTATATGCGATTCATTTTTATGAAGGTTTTATTAAAAGTATATATTTACTAAAATTGCATGTCTTGTCAGACGCGTTCACCACCATGATAAAAAGGTGTAGGTACTGAATATTGTTGACACACTGCTTAGACAACTAACTCTCGAAAAATTGTAGTAGTCATTTGTTGTTGTTGTTGTGGTTTAATTACATTAAGGTGAAAGACAATATGAATAAAAATGTAAAATTTTGGTCTAACATTTTGGCATTTATCAAATCAATACTTCAATTGTTCACAATATTAACAAAAACTGTAAAGAATACAAGTGAAAATAATTTAAGAAAACACTTTAATGTTGGTATTTTTACCGACTGTCACTAACTGGGTTTAACGTTCTTAAGTTTTTGTTTCAAATGGACCTGTTTTCTTGAATTACTTTGAGTGAAGTGTTAAATAAGTTTCTTGTGAATTTAAATGCAATGGTATAGTTTAAAAATTCATATTGCAATCTTTGGTAAAAAAGTGCTTGTATGTATAAGCAAATAATTTGGGACTTTTGAATAGAGTTTAAAGCTGCTATATATTAAATAAAATTCAGCATACATGACTAAAACTAAATGCTAATAATATATGAGAAAGACTAAATCCCGAAAAAAGTGCAAAGGTTCATGTAACGTAAGCGTACAATTACCTAAGATAATTGAACTAGACATTATTAGCTAAGATGAATTATGCGGCTCTCAGAAGATCTTTGGGGTCAGATCAGACATTGCTTTCATCGCAAAATGTAGAAAATAAGATGAAAAAATAAGCCATCGAGAAATAACTCACATATAGAAAAAATCCTCTTGTATTCTGTAAAGCTGTGCTGGGGTATTTTATTTGAAAGCGGGCGATGTGGGTCGAGGATGGTCGAGAGTAGACCGGTGAGCGGCGCGGGGGGCGGTGAGTCGAACGCACGGTGGGCAAGAAACTCGCTCCCTATTGCGTCAGGCAAAACCGAAAATAATTCATTACTCATGCACAACAATAACATTTCATTCCGCGATGATTAGATTTTCTATTTGAAATGAAAACGCGCGAAATATTGTGCGAAGAATAATAAAATCATAACCACTACATGAATAATAATAATAATAATAATAACAATAATATTAATTACAAAAACAATAATAATAATAATAATAATAACAACAACAATAATAATAACAACAACAATAATAACAATAATGATAATAATAAGTAACAATATTAATGTGAATGACGAGGCTTCTGTTGTAAGGCCTGCTCTTTTGAGTTAAACGTAAAGATTGGTATTACTTCAAAAAACAAAAATGGGGGTAAGCTTTACATTTATTCCTTGGAATGTACACTAGGATGTAGGCAATTGAGGACGTGCAGCAAAATCAACCGGCATGGCGGTTGAACGCCTAGGTTTGGAATTCAACTCGTGGGAGAAGGTCCCAAACCCAAACCCAATCCCAATCCCAAACCCAGACCCAGAGGTCTGCCTGCGCCCGCGTCCCTGTTGCTCCTTCCGCGCATTTTTCTTTCAAATTAAATAGAGAAACAAACTAGAGAAACCGAAACTGAATGCGGCTTGTGGGGGAACGCCCCAAACCCAGGCCCAAACCCAGTCCCCGAGGTCTGCCGGCGCCCGCGCCCCCGCTGCTCCTTCCGCGCGCGCATTTTTTCCTTCTTTTTCCGCAGAGGTCAGTAACCATTGTGGCGGAGGGGTCCCGTTGAGGCTAGTGCGCGCGGCGGCCGCCAGGGCGCGGGCGGCGCGGGGCGCGGGGCGGAGCGGGGCCGGCCGAGCGGAGCGGAGCGGCAGAAGCGGCGAGCGGCCCCAGGCGCACACAGCCCGACAGCAACCGCGGCGGCACCGCACCGCGCATAACCTCACTCCTCGCAGGATATTCACCTCGCCCACGCGCAGCCAGTGTGTACGTGTATGTGTGTGGTCGGCGATCGCTCGTGATTGACAGAGTGCTCTACGACGGACGATGCCTTCGGCGTGAACCGGCGTGTGCTCCGCTCCCCAGGCGTGTGATTTGACAGTTGTGAACGGCGGACAGGGGTGAAGATTGCGACGTGGTGTCGCGTGATCGTAATCGAATCGCAAGTGACCGCGAGTGTTGTCATTCAGTCGGAAGACACAGTGAAGGATACCATTTCAACGTGCAACGACTTCCGTGGTCTCCCGGCCGGTGAAGCAAGAAGGACGCGGTCGAGAGTGGTAAGTACAGTTGACTTCTTTATGTTGCGCTTTGGGAGAGGAGCAACTGGATGGCTCCAAGAAGTAATTGCTGAAGTAACACCAACCCCTTTTAGTGTATTGCACAAGCCGTAACTTCAAAATACTATTACAAAATCTCTGCAATTTTCGATTTTTATTTAAAATATTTAATTCATTTCTTAGCTACTACTATCAGAAATTGTTCCATAAGGTAACAATGTGCGTTAAGGTAACAATTTTGTAAGTGGAACGTATACGAAGATAAAGAACCTAGATCCATACGAGGACTGACATAGAGCGTACGCAAAGTTTTTAAAATAACAAAAAGGATTTCACTCGATTCCTTGGATAATATAAATCATTAAACAAGTCGGTTGTAGCGAGAGGCATCGTTGCCAGTTGCGGGTATTAATAGTGAGCGGGCGTGCCGGGTCGAGGGCTTCGCCCGCTGGGGCTCGCCGCCTCGCGCCGCGTTCAAGTCTCCGGCCGCTTCCGGGAGCGGAGTCAATGCCACCGCCGCCGAATGCGCTCGGCCGCGCTGCTCAGCTGCGCAGCCGCTCGCGCTCTCGGCTCCGCACGCGGCGCTGGGCCGCGCTCGTCGGCGCCGACTGCGCGCACTGCACGTGCAAAATCGGCGACGGCCGCCTTCAGCACGTTTGTGCTTCATTGACCATCTTAACGACAAGTCTCAAACACTGTTCTCTTCCGTGTTTTTATTTTAGTGCCATTTTTAACTATAAGGCAAAATTCATTTAACTCGCAGCAGTCCTCAATAAGTGTGGAAGTCTGAAAGTAAATTAAAATGAACTATTCTAAAAATGAACTATCTCTGATATAATCTAAGTACAATTCCCGTTTGCTACACCAAGAACTTAAATCATAAGATGTAAAAGGTCTTTTGAAAAATATTCCTAATCCAGGGGTAATGCCCTTTCTATATAACACTCTTTGCATCCTATTTTTTTAAATTTCACTTTCTGGTCATTTTTGCCTATTACAAATCAATAGTATTGTTTTAGTCATTGCTATTAGGAAATCGCAATCATTGATTTTTATTGACATGTTCAATAGCTGTCTTGTCCGGTTAATGTACATTTTTCGTTTTGATGTGTACACAAAATCTTATTCTTGTGTTACTTTTCTCATTTCACTTCTCCACACTGAACTTAATATCAAGCAAATATTAAAGAATGATGTTTTTAAATAGTATTGAAATTATTTTAAAATGAATGTTAAAGATGTAAGTCGAATGTAATGGTTTACGCAAGTTAATTCTACAGGAATCTTCCTCCAAAAAGGTTTTTTTAATCAGAGTAATTCTTCAGAGAGTTTAGTGATCTTGTAAAAATATTTATTATTTACTAAGAACTTTCTATTAGTAATAGCTGTCTCTTTCGATATACAAAGTGTTAGTTTATAACCCTGTGCTTATAACCTCAAATTTGAGTAAAACAAGAGGTTTTCCTGAACGATTTACAAATTTTAATGTTGCAATTACCAGTGTTATTGAACTACATCAAAACGTCGGATGACGTTTTTGAAATGTAAATGTTATTCAAAAATTGCCGATGTCAATATACGTAGTGTACCAGGACGTATTGTAGAAAAACATTTGTTGTAAATGATTGGTGTGGTTCCAATTGAATATGCCGGGAAGCGCCTGCGAGGAAGGCGGATATCGCCCCCTCGAGAGCATAGAGTAACGACCCGCGCCCACAAATTGGATGGAGATGGGGCTCAATTAGTTCGTTAACGGATTCGGGCGCGGCGGAGGGGTGGGCGGCGCGGGCGGCGGCGCGCAGCGGCGATGAGCGGCGCGGAGCCAGAGACCCCGACGAGCGATCGCGCAGCGAACCCTCCCCCGCGGCCCCGACGCAGGGCCCCTGGAAGCGCACACCGCCCTTTCATAGCCACTGGGCGGCATTGCATTAGTTGGGAACCACCTATCAACAGAGAAGATACTCCAGGAAGGGACTATATTGACCAACAGGACGCGGAACAAATGGACGTCGTGTAAAGCGATAGCATTGGTCGCAGGAGACAAGGATGAATACATTTAGAACGAGAGCTAACGGAAACGGATCGCGAGAGATGGAGATTGAGGTTACATGTGTGAACATTACTTTTTTTTTGGCCAGTAGAAGCCAAGCGAAGCTGTCTCCTCTAACCTCTCTATATTCAAAACGCATAGTAATACAATATAGGGTTGCGTGCAAGTCCTTTCAATTGTTATAATTTGTGTCGCGGCGTGCGGGGCTGTAGGGCAAGGGGCGTTAAAGGCGGGGTCTGAGCGTTGAGAGAAGGGCAGAGGGCTGTGTCGGGGCGGCGGCTCGGCCGCTGTGGGTGGGACGTCGTCTTGCGCGCAACTCGCGCGCGAATGGCGAGCGCCGGGGGGGGGGGGCTGGGGAACGGGGGCGGCCCGGGCGGGAACGCGGCCAACGCCCCCGGCCGCCGCCGCCGCCGCGGCTCGTCGCCGCTGTGACGCACGGCGCTCGCCTCATCTTTTCAAATTCGCCTTCCTTCGATACGCAGCGCCACTGCCGCGCCTCCTCAGCCCCGCGGACGGGTACCATGCGAAACGCATAGTTAAAACTTCATAACGAAATATAGGATCACAGATCATGTTCAGGCCAGTTATCGCTACGGTGTTACCTGCCGTGAATCTTATTTCCAGGAGCCTGAATGTTTTCTCCTGCACTGAGTGCACTGAGACCGGCGTCGCAAACCTACACATCGCTTTGCTTTTCTCTCTAACATAGGTATCACCCCCCCCCAGAGGCGCATGCCACAGCCCGGACCATGCTCAATGCCCCGATTTGGATCTCCCAGCATGTGGGATTAATAAATCTGCGAGTAAGGGTTAAGAAGGGGAATGAAGAGGAAGAAAAGACCTGCATCGGGACCGCGACCGCTTTTTGTGGGTATGCTTGGGAATTCGCCTCGTGTCTGATCAGGAAACTCACGTCACAAAGCTGCAATGAGAGCGACGGAAGTGATGAAGAGCAGCCGACCGCTAGAATTTCCTCCTGCGCAGACAGGCGCGTCACTAGACTCTGGATCTAGCTAGAGCCGCCAACCGGGCAGCGTCGCCTGCACGCCAAGAGGAATGCGAGGAGCGATGAGGAGCGAGGAGCGATGAGGAGCAAGGGAAGCGAATAGGAAGCCTAGGAGCGCGAGAGAGCGAGGAGGAGCGCGGAAGGAGCTAGGAGGAGCGAGGAGGAGCGCGAGAGCTAGGAGGCAGCGAGAGACCGCCAGGAGACCGAGGAGAGCTGGAGAGGAGCGGAGAGCAGCCGATCGACCGGTCCAGCGCGCCATGACGGAAGCTCGAGCGAGCGCGAGGAGCTAGGAGAACGCGTGAGGAGACCTTAGAGAGCTGAGGACTGAGCGCGAGGACCGAGGACGCGGAAGCGTGGCTGCATGGCGAGCCGGCGTGCAGTCTGGCCGTCGCGTTGGCGCCGGCGCGCGCTCGCCGGCGCCGGCGTGGCGCGGAGCACCGGCCGGCGTCGGTCGACGACCCCGCGCGCCGTCACTTTCCCGCGCGCCGCTGCAAGGTCAAGAGCGCTCCGGAGCCGCCGCTTCCGCCACCGCCCCCTCCCCTCACGCTGACCTACTCCCCGCCCTCATTAAGGGAAGCCTTCGTCCACCTCCTGCGCTCGGGTTGTTCCTTAACGTCCGAGTGCCCAACACACTCGCGTGTGCAAACGTTTAGTGTTTGAACAAACATTCCACCCTGCGTGATGTACACGCTACTCGCAATTGATCCGACTTGGACTGTGATCGGTTCATCACGCGAAGTGCTACTTTATTTTCAAAGTTGTTCTACGGTAGTATTTTCTCTTGCTACCTTTTGGCCTTGTGGCCTAGCGAAAGTGTAGATAATGTACATAATGCAGGGCCCAATGCGGTAAGACGTTTCGACGCCACAACCACTATCTGCCCCCACTGCCTCACGTGTTCGCCGTCCACAGATAGCATTGGCCGCCCTTTCTGTTATTTCCTCTCCAGAGTACCCTCTGAGGCGACGGGAATTTATTTGCTTAACCGGGTTTACAGTAAACTGCTTCCTTGTGGCTTAAGCAGCTGAAAGGGAAGACGTTTAATTAACAAACTAACTTAATTTTAGTTTAAATCTAATTTACTAGTTTTTGTAGCACTTTGGCATATCTAACTTTCGCAAAGTTATTATTATTTTTCTTAATGCTAAGTAATGTTTTGTTTATGGTCTTTCGTGGTAATATATAATTTACGCATCATTCATCATTCATTTTTGTTCATTATACACGTAACCTGCTCCTGCACCCTCTGCAACCCGCCGCACCGACGCCCCACTGGCCCAGGGCTCGGGCAATTCTCCAGCAGTTGTGCCTCTGAACCTGCGTTCTATTAATGAATATTAAAAACGACATTCGATTGATATCTAATCGATTGATTTCATTGATTAATATGCATCTGATCGTTCTGAATTACTTCATTAATCTAATGTAATTTTTCAAAAGTTTTATATAATTAATGAAACGTAAAGCATCATTAAGTTTCATATTGTCAATATGAGGTCAAAAAAGAACTAAAATAAAACATGTATTAAACATGAGATAATCAAAACATAGGAACATCAAAATAAAGCCGATGGTTTAATTCCATCAGCTTAGCTAACATGAAATTAATTAGATTATTTTATTAAATTTATTTCTCTGATCCGTCTGTGACTTAATA